ATAAAAATTAACTACAACACATACATAAAGACAAAAATGCTAAAGCCACATTTTATTGCAATTTAAAACAAGGAAAATCAATAACTCAAGTTTACAAATACTGGCCAAATGACAGAGAAAATTTAATAATACTAACATCATAATTGACTAAACCTGAACCAAGGCTGCGCTCTAAGGAAAATTTCAGGGAGCCCTTCGGGCTCCCAAGCATTTTAGTTTAGGCGCCCAGACCTCAAAGTTGGTCGCCCGAATAAAAATTTCTCGGAGCCCTTCGGGCTCCCAAGCGTTCCAGCCCGGGTGCCCAGGCCTCTCAAGTTGGTTGCCCGAGTACATCTGATGGAACTTTTTTTTATGCACACGAATCTTACTGGCCTGCTGATCACCAAAGTCGGCAATTTTAGCTTTTGGGTTTGACAAAAACCCGCATGTTGTCTTATGAAACCCATCAAAGTTTTCGTGCCATTCAGATTTAAAACCAGAAACGTGAGCAATGCCGCCGAATTGTTTTGGTCTTAAAGAGGGAAAAGTAGAAAAATTTCAGCAGGTTTACGTAAACTTCATTAAGATCTTTGGGTCAAGGAAAACTGTGCTTTTTACCAGTAATACTAAACCTGAAAATCAATTTTCAAAAGGTGAATCAATGCGGCATGAAATATAATGTGACGGAGTTTTATACGCAGCAGATCGAACTCAAGTTTCCGTGAAGAATTCCGTGAAACAGTGAAACCGCCGCGCCCTAACCTATTGTTTAATAAAAAATAAGTCATATTTAATTTTCTTTTCTATATTATCAGTGAATCTTTTAGGGTAACTGAGCTTTTCGTGGATACGGTCGAAGCGTAAACCAGCTCTTCTTTCCGTGTTTTTATTATTTTTTTTGGCCGTTGTATATGCATCCATGCGAATTTAGTTTTCGATACGTAAAATGCCAAGACAACGTGAAACTACCCTGTTTCTAAAACAACAATAAAAATGATCAGAACGATCATATCTTTTCTGTTTATATTTCGTTATCTTGTGTAAAAGGGAAGAAAACAATCATACGTTATGTTTTAGCCAAGCAGACACAGCAGCCAAAAACCGTAAAACATTACATTTGCATACTGCTCAATACAGCAACTTCCGTTTTATACGAAAATAAATTACTCCGCGTCGCCAGCCGCGCTCTACGTCTGTCAGAAAAGTATTGACAGTTTCTCCTCAAAACTGTACCTAATGAACCATTCTATCTCAAACAAAAAATTTTAAAACTATTTTGAGAAGCGGTACAAATCGAAAATCGTGCCGCTTGTCACGTTCAAAGTGATGGATTATGTTACATGTGAAATCATGCAGAACGACCTTTGAACATCGACGCGCGCCTAGACTACGAGTAGTCCCCCATTTTTCCTCAGGGATAGTAGAGCGAGCGAAACGCGAGCGCGCGTGAAAATCACCCCCACGCGAGAAAAGGCGACACGCGGCGGGAAGAGAGAAAAATGAGGGACTACAGACAAAGCCCAAGCTTTTGAACTAATGCGTTGCTCTCACAACGCAAAACTCTGATTGGCTCTTCCATGGAAATCTGTCAACATCTGTCAAAAACGCGCCAGCCGCTATCAACACTCGACATAATCACAATTTACAGAACAAATAACTAGAGCAGAACAAACAACAGCACAGAACGCTAAGAACACTACAGTTGCTCTTGTAAAAGCAACTAAATTAGAAAGCCAACCCGGCAACTGAGAGAACCGGAGAACCGAAACCATGGTCTTGCCTGATCACAAAGTGGGAATAATAGGACAGTCACAAGGCTGTTAAGCTAATTCAAAAGTTATCACCAAGGGAGGAACTACGTGCTCCAGTCCAACTACTCACATTATCTCCAGAAAAACAAGCGGCAGTTAAAATTCATGAGCAGTCATGACTGAGTCACATCGCAGTTCTCCATAGTTAATGTAGTTTTAGTTTAAGCTGCAATCCATTCTTCGAGATTTGGACATCACTATCCGTCCTGCTAAAAACGCTAACGAGCTGGGCCCAGCGTGACAAAACATTGCAGGAAACCGTCACATTCACGGCCAAAAAGAAAATCGCTTAAAATTATTTAGATCCTGGAGGCAATCACCGGAGAAATTAAACAACCCAAAACCCTTTTTTTGGCCGCATTGAAGAGCTTTACTTTTCAAAGGAGGTCAAAGAAAATTCTTTTGCACCGGAAGGCAAATCATGCCGACCATAAACAATAACCGCAGAAAATTAATATGCGTGTCACAACCTCTCAGTATGAAATAAGTGGCAAAAATCACATTTGCTCAGTCAAAACGTTTTCCTCCAGAGCATAAATTATCTACCCGTCAGAGAAACAAGCAGCATTTTGGCATGAGTAAAAGTCGCGTGTTGCCTACACTATCAAGTTCTTCACGCGAAACAGCTGTGAAGAATATTAGTATCTGGGTTTTCTTTTGCTTGCAATAAATATCCCCCGCAGTTTACCGAAGACAAGAGCAGTGACAGCTCAATAAGGGAAGGAATCCCATTGGATGCGCTTAATTGATTTGGAAAGGGATACGAACTTCACACTCCAAAATCAGTCGGCCGTAAAGGGTCAAAAGCTTGGGCTTTGTCTGTAGTCCCTCATTTTTTCTCTCTCCCCACCGCGTGTCGCCTTTTCTTGCGTGGGGTGATTTTCACGCGTGCTCGCGTTTCGTTCGCTCTACTATCCCTGAGGAAAAATGGGGGACTGCTCGTAGTCTAACGCGCGCCCGTTTCTTCCGTACAACATTGGTAAAACATTTTCTGTAGGGTTTAGTAAACTCCGACTCAACAAGCCAACGCTATTATGTTAAATTTTTCTGCCTGCTTAACTGAACACTCCACCAGAAGCAAGAGTGCCCGGCCGGGCAACCGGGAACTTTTTTTCAGTCGCCCGAAGCTAAATGTTAGTCGCCTCAGGCGACCGGGCGCCGTTAGAGCACAGCCTTGCTGAACTTATATTACATCAAATTAAATGTACCTCTGGAAAAGTAAAGGCCAGGACAGAATTGTCTGATGCAGTTATTATTTTGTTATTCTGTAAAAGGAAGGAAAGACAGTGAATAAGTTAAAGATCACAGGCTACCAAAAGAAAAATAATAATATTGTTACCGAGGGGGAAGGGTTGGGGGGTTAGAGGGGGGTAAATGTATAATTATGTAAGGTACGGTCGGGGGGGTTGGGGGTGTACTTGGGTTAATTTTTGCTGGGTATGTGCCTCTGGCGTGTCAGAGCCCCTACCCCATTATAGTCTACTCTGTGGCCAATTGTAGACCTCATCTTAGTCACTTTTGGTCAAATATGTAATTTTCGTGATCCCAACTTAGTCACTCTATTTATGCATGTACCTTATCAAACCTTTAAATAGGTCATCCTAAAATGAATTAGCCCCATTTTTCAAATTGAATGAAGAACACTTTACTTTTCACCATCAGTACAAACATTCTGGTATGTTTGCTAGCCGTAAATATGAAGAACTTTCTTACCCCCAAATCTGAAAATGTGCGACCCCATTCTAGTACCTCTACTGAAAATGCGAACCCCATTCTAGTCAATCCAATCGTGAAAATGCGACCCCGTCCAGCAGCGCATCCCCATTAGCCTCTTACGAGGAAGTACCCTCCCGGTTGGTACATAGTTACAGCCAAAGGATTTGTAGTAAGGACAAGTTCTGGAAGGGTATTTTCGGGATCCAGGATTTGTGTGAATGAAGGGGTTCTTGTAACATGCAAGTTCCTTTAGTAGATAACTCCGTTAGCTGAAACAGTTGAACATAAAAACGCTACTCCTGAGAATACATTAAAATCGTCAAGCCCTTCGTTCACACAAATCTGCCTGATTTTGCAATGCCAGCACTGGTTTCCCCACAAAATGGCATCTAAGAAACGAGGGCAGAAATTCCATACCAGTGACGCAGTGCTACCTAGATCTGATTGATCCTTCAACCAATCAGAAGCACTACCCAGATCTGGGTAGTGACACGTCATCAGTACAGAATTTCTGCACTGTCTCGTTTCTCACTCATTTTCTTGGGCTTTATCTGGTACAGTTTTCAAGCCAGCAAAAGAGCAATTGGGTATATAATAGTGTCAGGGTTCGTACTCTTTTGAACAAATAATTCAAGGACTTTTCAAGGACTTTCGAACTCACATTTCCCATTTTTCAGGGACTTCAAATTCAGTACAAAAAAGAGCCTTGAGTCTATGTCTTTTTTAGTTCTTTCACTACAGGAGTCATTTTATCCCAAGGGTTTCTCTGTGTTTGCTCCTTCTTCTTTGGAATTCTACTTAAACTATAAAGTTAGCATTGAAATTCAAGGACTTTCCAGCACCGACTGTAATTTTCAAGGACTTTCAAGGACGTGAATTTATATTTTAAAATTCAAGGACTTTCAACCCTGTGGGAAGTGATGGGTCATCAGTCATCAGTACAGAATTTCTGCACTGTCTCATTTCCCACTCATTTTCTTGGGCTATATCCAGTATGGTTTTCATGCCAGCACAAGAGCAATCTGGTACATGTACATGTATAGTGTGCACATACAAATTATGTAGACTAAAAAGGAGAATTTATATTTCAATATTGAGGATACTGGCAAAGGGCTTCCTTTCTTAGCTTAAAAGTGCTCTCACCTTAACGGCTAAAACTGTGACATTATCTCCTGCCCTGACTGACTCAGGATCACTGTCATCAAAATCTTTGTAAATGCGTACATCACCATCTGAGCCACATGTCAAAAGATAGCTGAGAAAGATTTGAAAGAACAGCTGTCACGTCAAAAACATTGGTAAAAGAGTAGTAAAACTGAGTCACCAGTTCAATGCTATGATTTCCCTAACATTAAGAGGGCGATCTAATAACTGAGCCAAGTATGATAGAGTCTAGTAGAGAGAAAGGCCATTTAAAATACAGGGGGCCTAGACTCACAACAGCCTTAATACAGGAAGCCAAATTATAAGGAGTTGTATGAGAATTAATAAATTGTAAGATCAATAAAATTTTCCTGAATCCCATGGTACGAATAAACAATAACTATAATAAGCTACATCTGTGGTACAGATATACTTTTAGCAGGAAGATCAGGGATATAAAAGTCTTACCTCTAGGCTAAAATGTTACTGTAATGTATCGGTCAAATCGAAGCTTCAACATGCCCCCCCCGGGCATTTGACTTTTTGAAAATTTTATTATCGTTCAAATTCCCCCCTACCCGGGCCAAAATACCGTTCAAATGCCCCACACTAGGGTCCATTCAGGTGATCAAATGGCCCCACCCCGGGGACATTTCACAGGCACAAAAATGACAGAAGGACGGCGGAAACACCTTCAGTTGTCGAACAAAATATTTATAAATNCGGTCAAATCGAAGCTTCAACATGCCCCCCCCGGGCATTTGACTTTTTGAAAATTTTATTATCGTTCAAATTCCCCCCTACCCGGGCCAAAATACCGTTCAAATGCCCCACACTAGGGTCCATTCAGGTGATCAAATGGCCCCACCCCGGGGACATTTCACAGGCACAAAAATGACAGAAGGACGGCGGAAACACCTTCAGTTGTCGAACAAAATATTTATAAATATAACAAAAACTGAGAAACTCTGTTAGCGTATTTACTACGAACAAATGCCTGGTGCAAAACGGCGGAAATCGCTGCTACAAGGTCACTGAATACTCAGCTTTTCTTCGTCATGCAACATACAAAGCGTTATATAAAAAAGATCCCACCTACTGAGATTACTACGTACATCATGACCATTTCACTGACATGCATCATCGTTCACCTTATTAATTAACATACTTGCAGTAGGTCAAAGTAGATGAGCTGAGCTTTTTATCTTATTTTATTTATGTTGTTGCTGATTGAATCGCCGTTAAAGGTATTGTATTTCATTGTAAACACAACAATAAAATACATTCATACATTCAAAGCCTGAATCCAGTATTAAAAATTTTAAAATTTAAATACTTCAAATACGGCACAAACCTTGTTTAAGCCCTTACCTCGCAACCAGTTGGCCACAAAGGCACAATCTTTTCCACGAAAATCCTCTAACACCGCGTCCCTCATGATAGCTCGCCACGCCAAAGATTTTACATGAAATCGAGGGTGCAGTTCAAATTCCCCACCCCTAAAGCATGGGAATCAAATTCCCCACCCTCTGGAAGACTCTGATAATCAAATTCCCTCCTCCCCGGGACGGCAAAGGTGTCAAATGCCCGGGGTATGCCCGGGGGGGGCATGTTGAAGCTTCGATTTGACCGATACATCATTCTACGTTAGATTTCTGTAGTCCAAATCCCCTAGGACGGACACTCTTGTAATTAATACGTAAACACCAAAATGACCCATTTTTTTGTAACATGTATTTGATCTCTCCAACTACACTAGTATCCTAAGTAATTCACGGTGTACTTTGTTTATTTAACCTGGCTCGTTCGATCGATTACAAGCTCAAGTTCACTACGTTACCAGGTAAATCGTAACGCTGTTCGATGATCGACGACAACCAACAGTCACTGTTTTTTGAAATCAACAATTCGATTCGATAAATGTCTCGATCCGATTCAGGCGACTTCAACTTTAGCACTGTTTCGATTTCTTTACCCGATCGAGAAATGATCAGCTTTTGTGGGTTAACTAACAAATTCGATGCACATTTCACTTAACGTACGTTGCTGCTCATCAACTCTTGCAGGATGAATGACGCAGGCCGATCGACGATCATGAACGAGCGTTATAGCAAGAAAATCATCATACTTACTCTCCTTTTTCGTCGTAGCACACATCTGTATGACCTTCACTGTGAGCAAATCGCATAGGCTTGCGATCAGCCGGCATTTTTAACCCAGACAGAAGCCAACAAAGCTATATGTTTTCACGAAGTGATACAGACAATTTTACCGCGTTCGATCGCACATCTTTCCCGCCAGTGCGACCGAATAGCATCCTGGTATACCTCTGACCCAGGTTTCTTTTTGCAGCTCACCTCACCGTGGTCAACTGTGGTCATTCTTTCAAAAAAACGGAGTAGAATATCGTAACAACTTATTCCTAGCAAGCAATTTTGTTGGTGAAAAATTGTTCCAGAAGAAACGAATCTCTGTCGGATAAGTGTGTATCGTATCGCGCCCGCTTTCTGGTTCTTTTAATATTGTTTCATACTCCTCTCTCCACCCGCTTGAGACGGCCGAAAAATTGAGACGCGTTTCCCAGGGTTTTTTTGCTGGAATTATTTGGGGAGAAACGTCAAGAAAAGACAGATGATAACACCAATGTAAGTAATTCATTTTTATTTGAGACGAACTGATTATTTTTATCTTAATTCAGTCGAAACCCAATTGTCCTGTCCACACTTGGTGCCCGGGAAACAGTGCCTGAGTACTGGCACAAAATGGTTTTGTGTTCACACCTTGAGTACCTGAAATGTAACTGTGTACGTAGAAAATCGATTTTGCCCTGTCAGACACCATTCTAAAACATGAGCTTAGCAGCAATTATAATTTAGTGGACAAGAGTGCTGCAGAACTAACCAAAACGGTGTGCCACAGGGACGCCATGCCCACTTTTACACCGGATTATAAGGTCTCGACTTTGTACTCGGGCACCAGCACAGTGCCCAAATTCTAATGTGAGTACTTGAAAAAAGGGATGTGCTTACATTAATGCCCAGAGAGCCTTGGGCACTGTGCCTAGGCACCAAAATGTGAATTCTGCCTCAGTCCCACATAATTGTACATTTTTGTCTTTTACATTTTAAATTCAAGAAATTTTGATTTTAAGCTAAGTTTTTTAAAAGTATTGAAATTTATTATTTATATATTTATTTTAGTGAAGTCATACATAATTCAGCCCAACACTAATCATGGGGGGGCGGGAGGGGTCTTCCAGGGAACTGGTTTGGGTAGTGGTATGTGCCACTTAGTCCTTTGAACCTTGACCCTGCTTAAAGGATGCATTCCTTTGGGATGATCGGGATCAGGATCAGTGATCCGAGATCACTAGGATCATGGTAGATCAAAATATAATGAAGCAATGAATCCTTGTCCATAGTGGATTCATCAGTTCATTTGATCTACCATGATCCGATCCGAGTGATCTCGGATCACTGATCCTGATCCAGATCATCTCAAAGGAACGCACCCAAAAATTCAAGTTGCTTCCCTGGCAACCTTCACACTATTTCAAAGGCTTTCAGTCCAAAAAGACACCCTGTGTAAGACACTAAATAGTGAAATTGTGTATCATTGTGTAACCTGTATAGGACTAGTTTATTGAACCACTTAACTCCCAAAAGAGACCCAGGTGAAAATCCAATGTTGAGCTGTATGGATATAGATGTTAACCATTGTGGTCTGAAATAGCAGGAGCGTAGCATCCAATTATACACACTTACCCCCCTGCGTACGTGTACAGCTGAAATATAGAAAAATAATGTACGTTTTAAGATGGAATCCATCAGGAAATTGAGTAATTTTAATTTTCAGTGGATAAAAACCTTGTACCAGAAAAATTTAAGCAATATTACATTCTTTTTTACATTTTTCAAGGGCTATAGATGTAATTAGTTATCTGTAATAACATCAAAGAAAATTTCTCATGGGAGCCCAAGAAAGTAAATGTCAAATTTTACAAAATGACATCTGACAGATGAAATTTTCAGAATTTTACTTGTGTTTTCACAATTCTTGTGAAATTTGAGATTTATTTTCTTGGGCTCCCATAAGAAATTTTCTTTGGTGTTATTACACTAAAAGATAACTAATAATACATTTATAGCCCTTGAAAAATGTAAAAAAAGACTTGACTGGTATAAGGTTTTTGTCCACTGAAAATTAAAATTACTCAATTTCCCGGTGGATTCCATCTTACCGGTAATTCCTAATTCCATCATTAAATCCATCATTCCATCATTAAGTTGGGATGAATGATACATTTTTTGCACTCTATTGGTGCCTGTGTTAGCTATTTCTTTTATGTTTAATTATTGCATATAGACATAATTCTTGCATCGTGCTGGCCTTTTTTTCTATTAACACTGTACCTTACTGACAACACTAGAGAAAGGTATTAAAAATAAACAACCAACTACTGCATTTTCCTGCATATTATCTTGCTGAAAATGTCCTGCGAAAAATGCTGGAGATGGCATTTCCAAGACCCTAAATTGAAAATTTTCTGGGGGAGCATGCCCCCAGAACCACCTAGGTTAGACCATCTTCTACACTACAACTTTTCTTTCCCGTGTGAGCACATCTTCAAAATCTCATGCTATGCCTCTGCGTTATGGTTTAATCTCAGTGCCATCTTACTGATTTCCCAAATTCACAACTTGATATTATTACATACAATTTATATATACTTAGTAATTGTATGCCATTTCAAGTGTTGATGCAAACCAAAGCAGTCAGCCCTGGATAGCTACAGCATAGGAAAATTTTATCAGTGTGTCCATGCTCCAACACGATATGTTCTGAAATAGGTTACAGTGCTAAAAAAAACTTGAATTCCAGCTTGTCCTTTGGGCATGCAGCTCTCATATTTCCCTTGTGTGGGGAAACTACTTGCTTGTCTTAGCTAATGCTTTATAGTCTGACTCTTGGGCCAAGGCCGAGCTCTAAGGAAAATTGAAGGGAGCCCAGTGCTCTGAAACTGTAAAATCTAGGGTGCCCAGCATATGATTTGTATGAAAAAACTAAGATTTCCCAGTTGCCCGAGAGAAGAAGTTAGGCGCCAAAGGCCACCGGGCTCTGCTAGAGCACAGCCCTGATTGGCCATTGGTCAAGTGAGCTTTCAATCAATCAATCAATCAATCAATCAATCATCTTTATTTAAACACGGAATCCCATTCATAAAAATGCTCTTCCACAGAGCCGTGCAAAATTCATGCAATAAAACAACATCAGATTAATTTAGTTATTAAAATTGTACTTAATTACAAATGTGAGATAAATGACTTCGAGCTTGTCTGTCCTTTAACGATCTTTGATAGACTATTCCAGAGAACTGCTTTGAAAGTTACTTGCCCAGAAAGAAAATCTACTTGTCCCAGACGACCAGATGGGACTGTCACATTTTTTAAACCCTGGGTTATCAAATTTTGTGTCTGGTCAGAAATGGGGTAGTGAAAATGCACATTTGTATGGGTAATAACATTATTTGCAGTGATATTTGGAATTGTGACACGTAGTGAAATGTGAGACAATTTTGAAATATCACGAGTGGTATTTATGCCAAACATCACGTACAAATCATGCTATTATTTTTTTTATACTACTACCCGCAAAAGGTTTGTAATTTTCACATGTAGGTATTTCAAATCAAGCTGAAATACCTTTGCTCTAAGCCAATCAAATTGCAGAAATTTCTCACGTAGAAGTATAATTGTCTGTCTGAAATAAGCCCCCCCCCACCTCCCCTGAGTATTGGGAACACTCCTGGCAAAACATGAAACTATACAAGTTGCTTGTTATTTCTTTATTGACTCATTTTTGCTTATACACATTTAACAGCGTCTTGATCTTCTGTCTATCCTTTGCTTTTTTAATCAGGCGAAACTTTTACATTTGCATTTTTTATTTGCAACGTCTAAAGCAATCTCTTGTAGCTATTCCTTTTTGTCCTGCGTTTATGGGAAATTGGTCTATCTGTTTTGTTTCCTGGGTTTCCTGTTAAACTCCTGGGCAGGTTCTTTTAGCAGTCTCGCAGAGCTCTTCCCTCCGCATGCGTACTTTACGCTGAAATCACGAGTCAAAAATATGTATGTAAAGACAGATATTAAAACGGAAAAATGTTGATTAAAGACCCATTAAACATTGCATTAAGTAATCCTTGACTAGGTGAATGCCCAGACTTTATCATTGAGAGAATAATCAACGAGACTAAACTAATTAATTGAACGTGGGAATTAATGTAATCAACGAAAATTACTGGAAACAAAATTATTGCTGTACCTTTGGATCCAAGAGCTGTTCCCTCGGCCAAAGGGGCAAGGCCTCGTCGTCCTTAAAGACAAACGAACAAATGAAGAAAAAAAAATAATGAGGGAGATAATTATTTTACGAGACAAATACTTTAAATACAGAAGGTGACCCAGCGCAACAAGGTGGTTATTATAGGTGGTTCGTTGAAACCGAATATTTTCGAATTTTACTAAGAATGCGGTTTCAGCGTGGACTGGGCTTAAAAATTGTCGTTATCCAAAGAGATACCTAAAGTAACAAATTAATAAGAAAAGGGTGACTGTACAATGGGATTTGATTTCCCCCAAACCTTGTTGGTAAAAAAAAATCGTTGCCTACAGTTCACAATATGATTCCGGTCATCTCAAAGATCAGACTTCGATCCCGGTCAAGCCTGAAAATTTTCAGGTTCTTTTTCAGCCGCTTAGGTTGTTCATTCAACTGCACAGATCATGTTAACTTTCAATAATAATGAAAACAAAAATGTTTAACCTGCAGTTTGATGGTTCGTTTGCCCATTTTGTTGCCCACTCTGCCACCAAAGAAGCTTTCAGTTTTAGTGAAGACGCTTGCCAGAAACAAGACAGCAAAGATCCAAACTGGCTTGACATACATTGTAGATTGCAAAGGCTGCAATAATAACGGAGAAAAAATAACTTATTTCTTTGTGTTTGCGCTTGAAAGTATGAATCCAATATAGTGCTGGTGGATCAAGTGGGTGGGGCCTTCTTTTTCATGTGACGTCACGGCGACCATGTTAGTGTACCAAGATTGAACTCTTTCGCCCTTTAGTGCAAGGCTTGGTTGCAGTGGATGTGTTCGTGTATTATCTTTTTTTTTATATAAGTACGCACAGTACCGCCTAAAAAGTTAAGGCGAAAGCGTGAATTCCAAAGCTAATAGTTGATTGGCTTTCCTATTGCCATTTTGCAAGAATTTCTAGGGGTGACGAAATTTGCAAAGACTTTAATCCCTTACAAGGTTCCGCCGGAATCTTTAAAATACAAATACTGGAAAAAATGTATTTCGAAGTGGGAACCTTAAAGACAACTGAGAGGTTCAATAATGGAGATATTTTGAGTTCCTTAATGCAAGGAACATCTTAGGCTTTTAGGGTAGCTTAATATAGTGTACCGCCTGGTCTCAAGTGTCTGCCATGTCATAAGTTTAAGAAAGAATGGAAGTCCTATCTTCTAACCAACCAAATCTGACCTTGCTTATATGTTCTATCACCGGCCGCTTATTTGAACATGACGGTGTCCAACAAGAAAGCTCTTGCTACTTTGGACACTGCACACAAATGAACTTAATGTCTTTTGGTTAATTTTTATTTGTCAGCTGCTTTATTTTCCTACCTACGTACACTTATGTAAATATCTTATATAGTGTGAAATAAAGAATTGAATTGAATTGAATTGAACTAGTGAATTTCCCACGTGCCTTTAAATTAGCGGAACGGAGTAACACAGTAACGTCGACAACATTACTGCAGTAAGTTTTTTTCGCAGAGGATATTACGTACGATAGGAAATAAACAAATGAACGTCACGGAATAAAGATTCATTGCCCTAAAAGTCATTAAACATAGTGATAGCATACTTAGCTAAGAATAAACTAAGTTCTTCCACAGCGTATTTGCCACTCAGTGTAAGGAACTGTTTGACGGAAGAAACTGTGCTAGGAGCGTTAGTTCTTTTAGTTTATAGCTCAGTCTTGGGCAATATATAGCTTGGAACTTTTTTCGGTGTCAGAAAAAATATCAAAATTCCTTGTAACAAAAAGTCTCCCTCTGAATCCAAAGGTTGTAGTCTAAAGTATTTGAAGTTTCCCTTACCTTTCTACGATATACGATAACAGTTCTGCTCGTTGTTCCCCTTCGACTGGCGTCAAAGTCTTATTTCCACTGTCTTTAAATAACGTTCGTGACTAAAGACTGTATGTTTTTCTCATGATTAGTTTATCTCTGTGAATTTTATAAGTTAGTTTACTCTAATTGTATTTTTACAAACGATATATACATTTCAAATTATCTTATCAGCCGACAATGGAACTTTATTGAAACAGCATATCGTTTCGTTAATTGTCGACGGATCTCAATTTCAGTACTATTAAGCGGTTTTTAATTGTATGTAAGACTTAATTTTTCGATATTTCCCCAGTTAAAACATTGTAAATTGCTTCCATTTGTGACTGGCTAAAGAATTTCGCGCCATTTTTAGTAGAACGAACGCAAAAAGCCCAAGAGACTCGCCCAATGACACGCGTCAGGCTCCCGTCCTTGTATTTGCTTGAAGTTCTTATGGCTTTGACTGTTTCAATTGGCCCAGGCATGAAATTACTTTAACTTTGAGCTCAATTTTGCTCCTATAATTGTTCAGCAGTCTCGTAAAATAGGTCATTGTTCCCACAAAACACGACCAATTAACTATGATTAAACTAAACCACAATGAAAGCTTGAGAAAGCAGAATAATTTTAATTTTTGTAAATCTTGGAGTGTGCAGTACCACAAAGATTCCCATAGCTTTAGATACTGTCGAATTTTGGTTTTCTATGCTAAATTAAGGTTAGATATCAGAAAGTTGGGTTTCATTGCTAAATAAATGTTACTTATCTAGAATGTCTCATCATGTAAATTAAGTGGTCGCATCATTGATCAAGTACGCTCGAGGACTCAAAAGTTCGTTTGTGGCTTAACAGGCCAAGGTAAACGTATTTAAGGTTTTAAGATAAGAAGGTCGAGACGAAACTAAATGGCTGTCTTTGATGCGCAACTCTGCTGCGTGGTACTAAATTTAAAAGTATCATGTTAACCCTTGCATGCTCCTCCTCGTCAAAGAGGCTCCTCAAATCAAATGCACACTTTCAGTAAAAAGCATTTTTATCTAAGATCTGTGAAACAGAATGCAATCTGTCTGCGGATACATTTACAAAAAAATGACTAAAAAACATTACGGACGGAGCTCATTACGGAACAATTTGTTCGCAACATATATAGAAGAACATGCAGTGATTTCTTAAGGTAAGAGGTTTTCCCAGTTAGGGTGCGTACTCATGATTACCTCAGAAATGTTTTTTTTGCCTTAATGCTGAATCATAAGATACTTTCTTCCTAAAGGAACTAGAATGAGAATTGAATTTACACGGAAAGAGGCTGAAAGTCTTCGTCGTTAGTAAATAATCAAATAATTGTTTTCTTTATCGCTTTAATTGCTTCATCCCTGTTCGACTAATTTAGTAAATATTAATAAAGCCCTAGTTTGTCCATTAATTGTTTCTCACTCTGTTTATTTTCAACTTCCTCAATATTTGATGAATTTCGTTTTCTTCTCTCTCGTGGGTCCTGCCCATTGCTAAATTTTTCTATCTAATTCTATATACTGAGAATATAGTTGTATGCTTGAAATTTTGTTGCCGAATTGTAGTACTCCTACCCTACTTGCATTTGGTCTGTTTGGGATCTTTGTATTAATTTTAGGTGCACCGTTTTAAACAAATTGCTTCACTGTAAAAGACTATGTAAAGTACATTCTTACTTGTTTTCTCAACTTTTTCTACTTTTTTCGATGTAACCAAAGTATCTAATTAAGAGATGAATTTGAAGGAAAAGCGATCCAGTTAAAAGGAAAAACAATGTTACTGTAGTCCTAGGTGAACATGCATTTGGGTTCACGTTATTGCATGATTTGCGAAGGACAGTAAAGAAATGTTAAAAATACATATCTGGCCGGATTCTTTAAAGCTTTATCGCCAAATGGACCTTTTGCGTCAAACATTCTTTTTTCACCTGTTTTTTTGGCCAAAAACTGACTCCAAAGTAGCTATATAATAAAAACGAAGAGTGCAGCCTTCGCCTTTTTTCTCTTCTCCTCCTTGACCCTCCCCTCGCTCTTTCTTTTTCTTTTTCTTCCTTTTCCTTCGTGACTGTGATTTTGGAGCTTATCGGGCTTAAGAAACCTGCCTTTTGACGCCTTTTCACTCAAATGACCGCAAATGTCGTTAGGTTGGTTTTCAAAAATCGGGTAGATATATAAACGTATACATACTAAAGCGATAACATCTCTTGTTGTAGGTTCTCTTTAAAAATGTCGTTGCTGTTACTTATGCCTCCTATAAAAAAGGGAAGAAAATTATCGTTCACAATTCAATATCATATAGGAACTCTTGAATTCTTATCGTGCAATATACCTATTTACTATGCGCCATTCTACTTTAGTTTTACTCTCAGTCATTCAATATAAGAAGAATATCGCCGGTACGATGAAATTGTATAATGCGGCGTTCAAATGAAAACCCTTTGCTACTTCTTTTGCTTGACATCATTCGTTTTTCAGTTTTGTATGACTCTTTAATTTCGAAAGCACTGGTCTCCTTTGTGAGTGAATGAAAGAAGCAGTTTTATACCCCGGTTGATTCTTCTATCAATGCGAAATTAAAGTTACAAGTCATAGTTTCAGATAGCCTGCGTGGCAGGCGTTCGAAAGGGTAGAGGAAGGGAATTAGGGCGCGAGACACGCTCACACGCTCTCGCGCCCGCCCAAATTCCCCCTTCCCCTTTCAACGCCGGTCACGCAGGCTAAGTTTCAGATAGTTTTAACCCAGAGAGCAGAATGCGAAGAAAGAACCCTGCATTAAGTAGCTGATTTTACGGAATTTAAAACTATTTTCCTAGCGCACTACGCACGTCTTTTCGGATCATTACACGTCTCTGGGGAAACTGCCCCCTACCCGTCCCCTAATCCAACATTTCGCCCTAAGTGAGAAGTAAGTGTTAATGTTAGCTTAGTGGGTGGGTAGGTGCTCGTGGTGCTTTGCCGACTGTGAGGAGTGAAACAACAAAAACCTGGTTTTATAAACTGAGTTAATAGAGTAAATTTGCCTCCTAAAAATCGAATCCGAGACTAAGGGATTCCGCTTGAAACGTTTGAAAATTTTAAAAGTGGTCAAAACTTGCCGGTCCATCAGCGCATAGTTAGTAAAGCAATAATGATGCATCACATTTTAAATAAGCGTATCTGACTTCGCGTTGGAATGCCAGCTCGCTATTCCCAACCCCGCACTGAATTTTATAAAAGGAGCCTTAGTCAAAGCGAAGGTGTGCTGTGGTCAGCTTGCCTTTGGACGTCAGACAATCGACATCCGTAAATAAATTTAAAGCAAAGTTAAAAAGCCTTAATTTGGATAGTGATATTACTTCATTGATAATTCAATAGCAGTACTTAATTTTACAAACGACTTTCTTGTAAAGCAGGGTTGTTTTTTACCGTTTTAGTTTTTATCTGAAATAAAATATACCCTGCAAATCAGAAAGATCTGTTTTAGACCTAAAAATGGGGCCGTTTCGGTGAGTAAATACCGTCCTATTGCTTGGGGCTAATTTGGCTCCCTTAATCAGGGCTATTACAGTCCAATTACCAAGGGCTGAAATCATGGGTCCCAGTGTGGGCTGGAATGCACTTTTGATGGGGCTGTTTTGGCTTAAATTGTATGCAAATGGCTCCAGGAGGGGCTCAGGCCGAATTAGCACTTTGAGGCTGAAACAGATCTTTTGAGTTTTCAGTGTACAGTAGAACCTCAATAACTCAAACTCGGACAACTCGAATTCCCCTCTAACTCGAGCTAAATTTCCTTTGCCTTGATCAAAATTTCACTGAAATTTACTCCGATAACTCGAACTGTTTTTCGTTCCCCTTCAGAGCTCGAGTTACCAGCGGGGTTCTACTGTAGTTTAGTGAGGTAGTTAGATTCTTATACGTTATAATGGAATGTGATTGTACCTGAAGGAAGTTACCTTACTTTACATTACCTTACGTCAAATTTCGAATCATTCTCTTTTCAGATTATGGTATAGGGAAATATTCAGCACCTATATATATATCCTATATTAGAAGTGCCTTTGTAGCCTGGGAATAAAGCCGCCAATAGATGGCCCTTTTTTGTCTGTGATCTACATGAAGGAAAATAACGACGATAACCCGTGAGTATGTCATTCACCACCCATAATACCATTCGGGATTGTCGCGTGCACTTTTTCCGACAACCTTTCTCGAAATAGCTGTATATATATCCATTAACAGAATATCAGCATCTCATTTTAAATTACTTTAATGGTTTTTAATGTTTTTAAAATTGTCAAGAAATTAACAGATGTCTGCCCTTTGATTCCGTTCAAAGCCTTGATACTGAAATTGTTGTTCTTACCGGCATTTATCGGTGAAAATAAAAATTAAAACTTTAGTTCTTTTCTCCGCTTTCGAGATGCGTAGAATGTGGTAAATATCATTAATTAAACGTTTAAGAGGGAGAAACTTGTAAGCTTGTGTGTTGTGTCAGTATTTTTGAAAACGTTACCGTCAAATAGACCTCTCCCGTCTGTCCCGTGGAACAGTAGCTAAAGTGGCCATTATTAAAACTTATAGTGCAGCCATTGCTTTCTTTTCTTTTCTCCTTTACTTTTCCTTCGCTGGTGTGATTTTTGAGCTTATCGGGCGCAAAAAACCTGTCCAGCCCTTTTTCACTCAACCCGCTGCAAATTTTGTCAGGTTCCCTTTAAACAAATCGGCTGGAATGACAGAATCTAGGTATGTGTACGTGTATACCGTACTCATGTTATCATGTTTAATCACAGAACAGTAATAATAAAGAACGATAATGATATGATTTTTGTCTTACTTAATTGGCAATGAAATTCTAGTTTAAGTGACACCTGGTGAAAGCATTGAACCAAATATGGATGGAAAAAAGTATTTTAACAGGAAATTAAAGAAATAAAAACTGAAACTGATCGCTCCAGTTTAAACACAGCCCTTAGTGAGGATGAGGCTAAGATCGAAGCGACTTTGTATCGATTTATATCTGAAATAGAGTTTGATATATGGCCAAATTATTGAGGTTAAAGACTGTATTGATTCCAACTGTGGGATTAGGAAAACGGAAATCAATCGCGTGTTGACCGCGTTGACTATCACCACTGTGCTATTCTCTAGCGTGTTTGAAACCGGGCTCACGCGCTTCTCGCGCGCGCTTGTCGCAAACAAATGTACGATAGTGACGTTCGATACACTATGATGTTTCGATGCTTGGTTTTAGCCAGTAAAATAAACCCTTTTTATAGACAAGTATAGGCGTTCGTTTTTGTTATTTCCTCCGGGAAGTAGAATGCAGGACGTCGTATATCTGACTTTGATCTTTGCTGTTTTTTTGGAAAAGGGTTTGGGTCGTTAACCACTAAGGACATTGTCTGAAAGAAAAGAAACAGTAAATTAGTTCTTAAGGAACGATTTTGCATCCCCTTTTTAGAAAAGCACCTCTTTAGTGCAAAGACGTAGTGTTATCAGAACGTATTTGTCGACTAGTAGCAGTAGCAGTATAGCAGCAACAGCAGTAGTAGCAGTAGTAGCAATAGCAGTAGTAGTAGTAGTAGCAATAGCAGTAGTAGTATCAGCAGCACGGTGGTAGTAGCAGTATAGCAAGAATAATAGTAGGAGGGCATTAACAGTGGCAATTGCAATGGCAGTGGAAGCGGTGGTGGAGGCAGCAGTGGCATGCAGTAGTAGTAGCAGCAGTAGAAGTAGCCGTGGTAGTAGTAGTAGCACTAGCGGTAGCAGCAACAGTAGCAGTGGTAGTAGAGGCAGTCTAGCAGTAGTAGCAGTAGTAGTTGTTCTATAGTAGCAGTAGCGGCAGCAGAAGCAGCAGTACCATTAAATGAACGGGTAATGTCGCTTAAAAGAAGTTTCAAGTTTCACCAATACTCTGCCTATTTTTGCTATGTTATATATTTTGCAGTTAATTTTTGTTTTTCCTTTGTTTAAAATTCATTAGCATACATTATCATATCCAAAAACAATAGAAAAATAAAAAGTGACTCAGTTAAAAAATCAACTGCAACATATATATGAACTTAATGGCCAAATTACTATCGGAGGCAATATACTAACCACGTGATCTTGAAGATGGTGTATGACATCATTTCTGTTGTTGAGTTCCGCCTGTAGCTGTTCTTTTCCTCGTAATAAGGTGTCACGCTCCAGCTTCATGGCGTCACGCTCGCACTGCAACCTCTCATTTTCACGTCTGAGGTTTTCTAGTTCCTCGCGCAAATCATTCCTTTCCTGTTATAGGGAGAATGTGTGACAGAACGCTCTTATTAAGTTGGTGAATAAACCAAAGATGATTAACAATTATTGGAAGAGGTTGAGCAAAATATCGTGATTTGTTAGAGGCGAGCGGGTCAATTATTTGCCGAAGCCGACAATTCACGATATTTTGTGATAACCGAGTTCAATAGTTGTTTTATCATTCGATCACCGAGTTTGTTTTGTAATGATTATCTTCGGGAAGTAAAGCGATCTACCCTTTTTCACGCAAGAGCGATCGCAAGAAGGAGAAAAGCATGATTTTATTCACCCATAAGCAGAATATTATTTGCAGCCAAACACGGTTGGACGACATTGCGCATGAACAGACCATTATTTGTGGGCAGTTATTCGCAGATCACGTGGTAGAATCTCATCAAGAAAATTTTGCATCGAGTGATTATGAATTTTATTTATTAGTGAATGTATGGGACTAGTATTTTCTGCGACAAAGAAAACTAGGAGAGTTTAAGAATGTCAGTGTAATTCGGTTTAGAATGCAGAACAGGCGTTATTTTTCAACAATCGATCTCCTATATATCCTATGTCCTGTGGCATATTCTTTTGAGGTCCTTTACTGTTAAGTTCACCTTAACCCCAGCCCGGAGGGGTGGGCAAGGCGGGGGGGGGCGGGTACTCCGAATATTAAGTGACACGGATGATCGGAGTATTTTGGGGGGTTGAAATTTTGATTCCGGTTACTTTTTTGGGTGGCTCGGTTGAAGTTGGGATTCTTTTGGGTATTCAAAACAATCTGAAAGGAAAGAGCCCTGGGAACAAGTTTGACGTGATCCCGGCCACATAGTTCTGCGAATACAGTACAACCAAACTTGTTGAGGCTCGGAAATTCTGCATGGAAGGTTTTGGGGGTTAATTTTTGGTCCATGGATTTTTTTGGGTTTTGATTTTTGCCCCAATTCCATCATCCCCGACACTTGAAATCCGGAGTACCCCCACCTCCCACTCTGGGAGCCCTAGTGGGAGTTCAACCTTTTCTTTTTCTTATGTGAAAAATGTCGTTCGTTCCAATAAATTGACAAGATGCTGGCCACGTAAGTGAAAAGGCTCTATATATTAACTTCAAATGGAGACTAATATTAAAAAAATGCGTCTTCAGTGCTATTATTCAGCGGTCATCGCAAACTCAATACTTTTCTTTTCTATTACCTTTCTTAGCTCATCGGTTTTGTTTTCTGAAACTGCATCCGTTGGCAAGTTCTGTTGAGATGAAAAAAAAAAATTATAATATGAAACTTGCTTCACTGAGATCTGTTCCAAATTCGGAAACAAAACAATGTTTAGTTTACAAATTAGTTGACTTGCGCAAAAGGCAAGGTCACAGGGTAAAACTTAATCCTTGAGAGCACGTCGCTTTTATTACTTAAAGATTTCCTTTCAGTTTGTTCATGATTATTCAAGTTATCTTCGTTAACGTCAACGGCTACGAGGGCGGAAGAGAACTTTCTGGTAAACTTAAACCTGCCAGCACGCACGCATTATGCGTGAGTCTCGCGCCTGCAGGCACAAGACATCTATCTCACACATCAAGGACAATTTCCCACCCCTGACTAACAAATCCGAACAAATTGTTCTTTAAAACATGGTTAATAACGAAAATTCAATTCAACTTCCACAAATATATTCCAGAAAGGCCCTTAATGTTGACTCTGTGTTCTAACTGTTTCTAAACACGCTAAAATTGTCGCCTTTTAACTAGCTTCGGAGGTGCTCAAAGAGTCGTCAGAACATCTTCGGAAATTTTCGGTAACGCTCGGAAGTCTTCGGAAAATGGTCGGAAATCTTCGGAAGTCAGCGGCACTATGTATTAGGCTATAAAAGATGATTTTAACTTTTTCGGAAAGTACTTAAGTGTAACCATTTAAATGAAAAGTACTGAACTGTAACTTCCCGTACGTGGTACTGTTCAGTATTATATTACATTCGAGGTGGTTCTAGCTTTTGCGTGGGTGGATAAAATCCTATTTTGTGACCATTCAAACTAAAGCAACTGAGAAGATCAGTACTGTTCTGTGGTGCTATTTATTCGATGCAGTACACTGAAGTCCGTTCAAGGTCTGTGATTAAATTCTGAAGTGTGACCATTCATGCAAATTTAACGTACTACACAGTACTTGAGCGTGGCCATAACACTTTACACATTCATTTAGTACACAATTAAACTTAAAAAATAACAGGAACTGAAGAAAATCAGTATTTTAAAAGATTTCTTGTACCCTGGAACAAAAAGATCAACTAACAAAATCGAACTAATTTAGTTTACCTTTGCTTTTTGATCGCTGACTGGAGAGCTCCCTCGAGATTTAATCATGCCATTGCCTGGGACTTCTAAATAAGTACGAGAAAAGTCTTTGAGAGCTTTTACATCTGGCCTTTCCTCCTCGCTGTGTTCAGATCCATTAAAAGACCGTGAGCGCATTCTGTATTCGATAAATCCTTTGGCAGGAGGCGTGGAGATAATCAGGCCTTCGGGGCTGGTTGGGGAAAGTCTTTGCTGTCTTCGGCTTGAAATCGGAGACAATTCTATTTCGGGTTCGGAGCAACTTCGCCCGTGAATATCAGGTCTTTTATAGTTCGCCAGTGGCCGGGCACGTTCGGGTGGCGTTTGGAATAACTCGGTGGAGGACGATTCGCTTGAAGGTGGCTGCCTCGCTTTGCGAAATCTTGCTCTCGCGTTATGCAATCTTTGATATTGTTGATCTGTTACGCTGGATATCAACTGGTCCTCGTTCGATCTCCACGAGCTTGTTCTCGAAGCGGGATTTGACGACCCGCCTTCGAAAAAACCGCTCCCGCTGCTGGAAAAACTGCTTTCTCTGCTTACGGAATTTGAAGCTCCTAGCTCGAGACTACTAAAGCTACTTTCGCGACTCACCGTCGTGCTTCGGCTCGCGGGGTCTTTGGCAGTGTTATCACTCTTAACGTCGATAGGCATGGGTTCGGACCGAATTCCTACGTTGTGGTTGCTCATATCATTCAAAACATAGTGAAATTCCGCTTTTTCAAGTTGCTTCGCGTTGCTAAAACATCAGCTCCGGATGGCGCTGTAAATAGAATGCTTGTCCTACGTGCAATTAGAATTTAGGTTGGCATGACTCAGGTCAATTGCTGCATTTTGTTTGTTTGGCCTCTGAAAAAACTTTACTTTGGGATTAATGATTGATGTCTGTAGCCATATTCTCTGCTCTTTTAATTGATATACGTAGCCTACAGAGTAAACATTTTGCCGACTTTCTTTTCATTCCTAAATCAACACTTCCGGAAAATTACTTCACCCATTCTTGAACATGTTGAAACGGAACAATTTTCGCGCTTTTACGCAATGTGGTACTTTTGAAACTCTTTGTAACTTTCGCGCCTCCGGAAAAAGACAAAATGGGCTAACAGCCCTCCGAGTCTATTTTTAAAAATTAGTTCCTCTTCGTTAATGGGTTTTAATCTAAAAAAATTTAATCAGTATTCAATTTGAAGAGTGTGGAAAAGTTCACGTACGCTCCTGTGCAATTTACATGTAGTCAACTCAAGAACTTTTTCGCGTGAAAAGTCATCTTTCAATCTTCATCGAGTTTTTTGATTCTCGTCCAATCTGTAAAATGTAGGTGATTTTTCCTGGAGTTCAACTTTTAAGCACTCAATCGAAAGGTTAAAAAGGGGAATCAATCGAATCTTCTCCAGTTCACCATAAAAAGCCCCGTTAGAAAGTTTCACCAGATCATAGTACAGTGGACGTCGTAGATCGGAAATGTTAGCTTGCGTAGCAGGCGCCAGTTTTCCTAGCGCGGCCTTTTGGCTCCGACAGGAGCCCATCACTAGGGTCATAGGCTAGGGTCATGGCTCGGATAATTACTGGCACCCTTATCTTGTTGATTACCCATATACCGTGTGGCACGAAATTTTTGCGGGTTCTAATTTTTGCGATTTTTCCAGCGATCTGCAAAAATAAGTTCCCGCAAGTAAAAATTAACATTTTTCCCGCAACAATTTACTCCGGGGTAAATACTCTGTGGTTTATGCACCTATCAATGTAAATCCCGTGGGGGGGGGGGGGGGGGGGGNCTGGGACTATCCCCGCTGTCGGGCTTTTGATCGTGCGAAGCGACCCCGGGGTAGGGACATTTGACTTTGACCGACAGAAGCCTGGTATCAATTCAGAAGTAGTTACCAAGTCCGTCCCGGGCTTCCTGAAAGTCACGCTGTTGGAGAAAGGTATGAAGTTTTCATTTGTTTTAATCACCATAATCCGATACTTTAAACTGTCATCTAAACAGATAATGTCTATTTTGAGAAAGTTTTTATCTTCAAGTTCCCATCTGATTGTAAAACTCCACCATGAAAGTCAGAGGATTTTTTATGGGTCACTGATCCGACCTCTTCCGACATGTTGAGCAGCTGTTATAAAGCATTTTACGTTTTATTAATATTTAATATATAGCACAATCAATCTTCCTGGAGTGATTTTGTTGTTCAAGATAAGAGATGCAAGTGGAGAGAGAATACTTAATTACAGCGAGTAATTTAATGGAGCTTCCGTTAACCGTAAATAAAAGTAGTAACAACGTGTTTGAAATGTTCTTTCATTCGTTTTATATAGTATTATAGCATTGTTTGTTTAGATTTTTTCCCCTGGGGTGGGGGCTTTTTTGACACTTTTGATTGACCTTTCGTTTCCCACCCTGGGGAATTTGATCGAAAAATTTTAAAATTTGTCAAATCCCCACCCCTTGCCCGCACTCCCCCCCCCCACGGGGTTTACATTGATAGGTGCATTAAATTCGCTACACCAAAATACTGTAGTAAGAAATCGTGAGTGCGTTCAATCACAGCTTGTCTCTTTCATTCAGAAACAACAAAGACAGATAGAGAGTTGGCAAACCGATTTCGTCTTTCTGAGGCCAGGTTTGAAAAAGGGGAATGGGTTTAGTTTAGGCGCCAGATTTTGATGGTGTGAAAAATGACGTATTTTAGTCTGAAACGAGGGTCTGGATTTGCAGAAACACGGCCAAGATAGCAATATTAGCACTGAAGCACACGGACGCCGCGGTAAGGCCATTACCTTACGCATGCGCACAAACATGTCACCCCAGCTGTTTCGCTCTTACTGGGGCTAATCAGTATGGCAAACCCACCAATAACTCCTAGGCGTACAACTCCCCCTCATCCTGCCCGGAGTAATGCTGTGATAAACCTGTTAAGGGTAATACGGCCGATATAGAACAATACTATAGATAGTCTTGCTTTCCTTATTACACTTAGTTTGGGTTTATCGAATCAACTGTTTAACCGTTCAAGTGTGTATTAATTATTTCAATTTTTACATGCAATATCCACTACCCTCAGTATAGCAATTAGCTAGTCGAAAAGAGCAGTGGTTACACGTATTTTATATAGTAAATAACTCACAAGTAAGACTAGAGAAAAAGAGCAAAAAATAAATTAAATTATGTTTACTATCTTGTATGTTGCAAATATAAGAAGCTGAGTTTTCAAGAAATTTTTGTTATTAAGTCGGGTAAATCAATATAATCATTTCCTTCTGGAAGTATTCGGAGTAAAGTGTCGTGAACATTGTCCGAGTTGTGGTACAGTTGTAAGGGAGAGAGATGAGGATACGAAAGGTCCGGGTTCGAGGTCCAGGTTCGACCCTGGGTTGCGATTCTCTTTCTTTTTAATAGAAAGACTTCCAATAGCAGGTCAAAAATTTTCTAAGTGTCTTAAAAATGGCAGCGACCGTTTACGGAAGGGACAACTGCACCGGCGACATACTGCTGGGGGGTGATAGCCTGTGAGCAAACTCTCCCGGAGCCTTCAGAGCGCCCCGGGAGAGCTTGCTCGCAGGCTAGCAAGGGGGGGTGGGGGGGGGGGGGGGGGGG